AAATTTTATTTAAAAGAAACTAATATAACCTAAATTCATCTTAATATAATACAACAATGATCCCCATCCAGGATGCTGCTCTTTCAACATTGAACAAGAAAAAGTAGGGAAAAGAAAGAACAACCATAGTATTTCAGGAAAAGAAACTCATGAAACAATGCAGAATGAACTCACGAACAACAAGCAATGCTCTGTTTCCTCATGCTTGCAATTTTTTTGGCTAGATCTTCTAAGTGGAAGAAAAGAAGTGCAGCTGCCTGCTGCTTATGTTGAGCATCGCTGTGGAGCAGAAAACAGGAGTGGAAAATTTTAATTATTTATATACATTTTCGTGGATAAAAAAAGACCATAAATAGCATAGTTAGGCTGCAGAAACTCACCGAAGAGCATCAGCCAGCTTGCTGGTTTTTTCTCTTTTCATTTTTGCGGCTGTACCATCCCACAAATTTCTGTTGACATACCTCTACCCTCTACACTGGCCAGAATGGTTTCCCTGTTGTGAACACAATGTATCCAAGACAAAGTCCCAACAGTAGCCCACAACCATAACCCATCAATGCAAATTTCCAGTCAAATAATGCTGCAGAGTCATCATCTTCTTCATCACATTTGAGGGAGGTGATTCTGATTCTGTCACTTTGCATTTCTTTGTCAATGGAATTCCACACAATCTAAGTTTCCAATGTAGCAATCTTTAGAAAAAGTATCGAGCTGCTTCCCTTAAGGAATGTGGATCACAAGTTCATTGTATGAAAATTTCAAACCGAAAGGAATGTCAGACTTGTCAACTGCTCCGGAATGCTGCCATAAAGCTTGTTTGATGAGGGATATACTGATTCAAGTTTTGCCCATTTCTCAGAAGATGATTGAATTTGACCTGTGAGACCGTTGCAAGAGAAGTTAAGTACTAATAGTGCACTGAATTATCTACTGCTTAAGAGATCAACGATTGTGAAAACTGTTAAGGTTCTTACAAGCTCCACTATGTCTCTCATTGTCACCATCACAGAATTCTCATAATAAGTCTATCGTTGAGGTTTTTCTTTCGACTTTTGACAAAATGGTTTCCACCAAAGACCTTCTATCTTCTAAAAGTCTTAACAGATGAGATTAAATTTAGTCAATCAGATACCAATATGATAGAAAATGAGAATGAGCTAATCTACAAAATCATTCGATCTTGTCACAATCTAATACGAAATAGCTGCACGTTATATTGCAAAACCAACAAACTTACTGACCTAAAAGCCAAGATCACTGCATCATCTTCAATGGTGACTGCACGATAGTAACTAATAACATTGACTTGATTGCCCAGCATTAAAAGCATCTGATGAAACCAAATACCAGAAACACTTCAGAAGGTTTCCATTACTCATTGGAAGAGTGAGTGACATCCATTGTTCAAAGAGAGAGCTTCAGCTTCTAAAGACAATCAAATTGACTGGGACAAAACAAACCTTCCACAATTGCACCAACTACAGGTGCCTGAGTGTGTAAGAGCAAAATATATGACCAAGTGAATCAGCTGTTGCAGCCAATGTACCACTCAACGACAAGATGAGTTTTCTACTCTTTCCAAGGTGATCCTTCAAACATATAAAAGGTGAAGCTGTAATGAAATCAATATATCATTCGAATAAGATTTAAGAAGACTAAAAGGAGAATGCTAATCTCATATGCTAAATGGCATATAAAATTCAAAATGCAACAGCTACCACAATAATTAACTAATGTACAAACAACACATGAACAGAAACAAGTAAGACTTGCCTAAATTACTTTCCCTATTTCTATTACACTTTAATAGTATCTCAAAACAATAAGTACTTCTATTAGTTGATACAGGTCCATATGTATAAAAGCATCAATGGATGTACAGAACAAAATGAGAAAGGAAAAGCAGGAAATTGGGACACTAAAACAGGAAATGTAGCTAGCTAAAAAATTAGAAATACTACAAATATAACTTATAGAATTACAGTAAATTGAGGTCGTTAAAAAATGTCATTATGATGTTAGTGAAGTGCAAAGAGAAACAAAGATCAGTTATATGAACTTAATCTTCTAAGATTGTTTCTGTTTTCTTAATGAAACAATTTAGATTCTTTATAAAAGAATCATATCTTTCAACTTTCAAGAACTCTTGATAAAAGCATAAATTCTTGTTGTGATCCATTATGAAATGAGCTGCATATTATTCTATTGCAAAACACAACAAACTTACTCATTTGAGAGCTAAGATCACAGCATCATCTCCTATGGTGACTGCACAGACTGCCCAACAATGAAAGTGGCTGAATTCAAATACCAGAATAAATTCAGAAAGTTTCCATTATTCATTGGAAAAGAGAAAGCAGAATAACTAAAAATGAAACAGGGAACTAACTCTTTTGTATTCTTAAATTATGTTTTTTTTTTTAAAATCATGTAGCCAAAAATTACTCTAAACTGTAAACCATTTGAAGCACTTCTATAGAATCCATCTGCAAGCAGCAGCAGGCCCTAATTATATAAGGAATCACCTCGAGTTCCACCAATGGAGGAGGATTATGTCAGTGATTTCTGCAACAGGACAAAATATTAATTAAAAGCACTAAACTAACGCCAGTAATATAACAACAGCACTTAGTGGGTAAACTAGTGGGGCCCCATTTAATAAATCCAGTGGGTGACAAAATTTCATATTATATTTAAAAGCAAATTGATTTTAATCTGCAAACTTCTTTCTCCAATCTAAACATATCTTAAAGATCATGCATATATACCTCAAGAATTTGTTTCCAAGGCAATAGTCATTCTTTGTTGGTTCAAAGGAAGAGGAACTTCACCCAGACAACCTCTGTTGATTAACATCTCCAAGAACAAGCAGCTTGCGTCAATTAATTATCTCCTTGAAAGAGCAAGTGAAATCCATTATTTAGTTAAGATAGCTCCATAGTTTAAAAATATTAAAAATGACTAGGACTGAACAAACCTTCTGCAGTAGCATCAACTAGTGCCCAAGTGTCTAAGAGCAGCAATATACAGCCAAGTGAACTGGTTATGATAGACAATGTACCAATCTATGACAAGGTGAGTTTTCCCCATTTTTGCAGTGATCCACCAAAAAAGTCAAAGGAGAAACTGTGATGAAATCAATAAAACATTCAAGAGGCTTTTGAAAAGAACAAATAAGAATTAAGACAACTAAAAGAAGAGTGCTAATCCCATAAAGGCCAAATGGCAAATTAAAATTTAAAAAGCAATAGCATCTAGGATGAATAGACAATAAATCCCATAAATCCCAACAATAAAAGCAAGCTGGATTCAAATAACAGATTAACTTCAAAAAGTTTCCATTATTCATTAGTTGACAAAGAGCAAGCAGCATTACAAGAAATGAACCACAAACAAGTAGGAAGAAATGCAAAATGAAACAAGGAAAAGAAATCTTTTAGATGTTTAAACCGTTTTCTAGAAAGCATGTATAGCCAACAGCTACTCAGAATCTTAGACCATCAGAAAAACTCCTATACAACATTTGTGAACTAATTAAAGCAAGTTACATAAGGAATCACCTGGAGGTACATCAATGGAGGAGGCATTTATGCCAGTGATTGCTGCATCAGTACATGATCCATACCCACTAACATTCCATAACTAATATGGCAATCTCCCATAAGAATATTCCGGATTGTCTTGAGCCTCTCTTGTTGGGTTCTTGAGACCTTCATTGAAACGAACTCCACATCACCAGAAGGGATGAAAAGAAATAATTCATCAAGATAAACACTATGTTAATGACAACAGGGGAAGACATTTTTGTTTCGGATGAAAAGAAATAAGTAAACGCTAACGTACATATTTTGTTTCAAATATTCTGATCTCATTAGGAACAAACATTTTATTTCAATCTTCACAAGCAGAAAACAATTATCTGATTTTTGAGTTTACAAAATACACAACATACCATCCAGTTAGGTAATTAAGCAAAAATCATTCATTTATCCAACACTTATTCACCCACTAAGTACTTCATATTTTCTATATTTTTGGTAACCCTACATATACACATAATTTTTTCAAAGAAATTATCACATGTTAACACAGTGACGGGATCCGACCTACCCCATCCAACAGATTTAGTTATGCAATCCGATACTGTACAACTCCCAATCACAACATAATTCAAGAGTTTAAAATCCAAAAATGAAAACACAAAAATAAAAAAATAAATAAATAAATAAATTCCAGCTTCTTACCTATCTATGAATCAGATCACCAGCCAAAGAATATGTGCCGACAGCCGCTACCCTAATCCCGTTAAAATCCAGCAACTAGACGACAGGTTGGGTTGGATCTTCACCTTGCCTTCTTCCAGATCAGACCACCCAAGGACGAGAAAAAGATTTTAGTTGGCGATGTCAAGAGACTGGGCGTCCAGAGCGCAAAGGACCGTCAGCCATCCTAACCAGATGCGTCATCGCTCAGCCCCTCACAGGCGATACAATTGCAATTTTGCAACCCACATCCTTCGGATATGCGTCCACTTCCGGCATTAATTCCTTTAATTGCTCAGAGAGAAGTACGGTAAAAGGAAGAAGATAACAGGCCCACATATTAAAAAAGGGGAAAAAAAATCTTTTCTTTCATTAAAACGCACCGTTAAAACGAAAGGAATGGAAGAAAACTTGTTAAAGTCTTAACATCAAAAACATCCAGTTTATAGCCAAATTTTTCAACAAACATTGAACATGAAATAATAATAATTAACATAAAAAGGAAATAACAATCACATAAAGAAAGAGCAACTGCCTGTAGCTTATGCTGTCAACTAATTAAACTTATGCACACATTATTTTTGTCAGATCTTCTTGGAGGAAGAAAGAAGGCCAACTGCCTGCTTCTGCTGTGGAAAAGAAAGCAAAATTACAAAAATTATTATGACTATTTTATCCATTGTTATGCTTAGAAGAAGGAGCACAAATAAAAAGAGGCTGTAGAAACTCACCTAAGAGCGTTGGTTGGGTTTTTGGGTTTTTCTCTTCTTATGCCGATGGGTGCACCTTATAACAAATTTCTGTTGATATTTTTCCACCTTCTTCACCACCCACCATGGTTTTCCTGTTACGAACACGATGTATCCGAGGCTAAGTCCCAACACCAGCCCACATCCATAACCCGCCACTGCAAACTTCCAATTAAATAGTGCTGCACAGTCATCATCTTCATCAAATTTTGATG